ATATGTAAAACGATGAATTGGCAGCAAATTCACCCAAATCATCCGCAAACAAATCTAGTAACATATAATAATAGTTAATTTCTTTTTTTTTTTCTTAAAAAAAAAAAAAAACATTATAAAATTAGACATATAAATACAAAGGGATTCTGTTATCGTATAAGTGCTGTTAATAATGATAGTAGGTTGAGTTCTGTAAATCATACACCCATTATTGGTTGGAGAGGAACCAGAACATGTACTTTTAACGTAAAATACATCGTTTTCCCAGACATTGACGAATGGTTGTACTAGAAAGCATAGCATAGTTAAAATATAATTAAGATTTAATTTTTTTTATTAAAAAAAAAAAAAAAAAGATACAGCATAGAAATGATAATTAACCATTAACCCCATCTAAGTTCACAGAATCTTTTATTTCAAGAAGGAAAGTTATCTTATCATTTTGCGAAACGTAGATTTCATAGCTCGAGATATCTAATGATCCACCACATTTATGTACATTATATGTGGGAATTTTATAGGTAGCTCCTGAATTAATTGGATATGTATATGGATATGTATACTGCCGTTTTTCGATGATCGGCCGCTGAATTGGGGTTGTCACAACCTGTACTGTATAGAGCGATAAGTTAATTATAAGATAAAGGCACAAATGAACATAAAAAAGTTTCAACATGTTTGCGGGTGATTTAATTCGAACGTAAAAATTTTTATGACCATTTTATATAAAATTTTTACAATGTTTCGTCAAATGAGATTATATTCCAGGAATAGATCATGAATTCAGAGAATGTTATTGTGAAGACAAAAATAAAGCAACATACACAAAAAAAGGAATATTAATCGATAAATATTTAGTGATTAAATACGTGTACATTTTTTTGTTTAACATACAAAGTTTAATGATTCATTTATTCAAATGGCATTTCATTTATAAATTACAATCCATTTTTTTTAATCCTTTTTTAACCATAAGAAAAATTTTACACCTTTATCAGTTATTATTGTAATAAACTGTACGTATTATTTTAGATACAAAAGTATCAGTATTTATTTTCCAAAGATCGTTCTGTTACGTGAAATTTGTACCACTGTCACGAATTCCCTCTTTACATTTTTTCCCAACCTTTGTGTATTACAGTATCTATGCATTGTTCATATTTCCGTATTTGTATCGGAATAATCTTTTAATGTTACGTATGATTAACAGATTTACGCTAACCCAGCTTGTTTTCTTAATTAAGCGACGGGGTAAAGAATATCATTATTTTGTTATGATTGAAATGAAAGATTAATCATTAAAAGTTAAACTCAATAGGTATAATTGAAAAGTTATCTATGGATTGTAAATCGTATAAAAGTCATCTAAAGATATTCATCTAATTGGTTGATGCGAATTAATTACACAGGTAACTTATTTATACACTTGTTTATAGAACACAACGTTTCACTAATAAAAAATCACCATAAAAGTCATTTCTAACTTCAAAATAACATCAATATTCACTGTGCAAAGTAATCACAAAAATTATTTTACTCCTAACTTACTTTGCTAAAAATGTAATACTATTTATTACTTGTTTCTATCACTATTGTCGTACGTGGGAACGGAATTATGATGGGTTCGGAATCAACTTAGGTTGAAACGGAATTCCAAATGTGGCCTAAGT